AAATTTTTTTTTTGTCTGACCTGGAAAACTGAGAATTCTTTATGATGAGACATCCTCATTTTTTTGTATTCATTCGTCTCCAGGTCTGAAATTAATGAATTTTCAGACAAGGGTCTTGACGTCTCAGTGAGTCTAAGCTTTAACATTTATTATCCCTTATTTGTATTTTCTTTTTATTGTCTGGGGAAATAACATGACTGTATTGACTATTTACCATTTCCTTTATTTTACACATCCTGTACCATGTATAGTGCTTACAATCTGAAGAAGCAGCCTTTGCCACTCATTTTTACAAAACACTATGTTACATTAAAAGCAAAGGAAATTTGATCAAGGGAAAGGTAATAAACAAAAAGGATTGTCTAAATTATATTGAGGGTCTATGTACATAATCCATAAAATATGTTTGAAAAATAAAACTTTCTTCCATGGTAACTTTATACTCTGAAGCTGGACAATTCACTAACATCATAATTTTTCTCAAGAGTAAATGTCTCTGCTTCATCAATCATATATGACAACAACAATAGATCAGGACAAACAGACACAGTGATAGCTGGTTACAACAACAAAGAAGTAATGCTACTTAAAGATGATTTTCAGTCCATACACAGTCTTGGCACCCCATGGCCAATGTTTGTGAGTCTCACTCCACGGAAAGCGACAACCTCGTTCCCAGGGTCTCTCATCTTACTGCCCCCTCGTTCGCTCCAGGGGGCGGTAAGATGAGAGACCCTGGGAACGAGGTTGGGAAAGTGAATAGATGCTATTCATACCTTATCTTTGAGGCAGTTTGAATTCTTTACCCAAGATTTTCTTTGATTTTCACAGCTAGGAAATTGTTTCATAAAGTGATTTTGAAAGAACAAAACATAAAGCTTGGTATCCGTAACACGAAACTTTGAATTTACTTCATGTTGGTAATAGCAAAATGTTACATTTTGTGACATATTACATGAGTCAAAACAAAAACATAAACAAACTCTCGAGATTGTGCTGTATGGACTGTAAATCATCTTTAAGTCCAATTCGTTCATAGCCTTCTGCATCTGCTAAGAGTATTGCCTCCCGCCCCCTCCGCCTCACCACCTAGATGAGATACCAGTCCATCACAGGTTAAAAGCATTTGGTCCTGAAGGGTGCCCCAACTATTTGCCATTACCCGTAAATTTACATATTTACATATGTTTCTGGGTGAAGAGAGGCATTGTGCAGTGAGATGTCTTGTCTAAGTCTCAGTAAAACCACGGCTCAATCTGAATTCAAGTGCATTAACCAATATTAAGCCACTGCACCTCCCTGGTTACAGATTGAGAATATTATTTATAAATGATTTTGTGCTTGTAAATGATGCAAATTTTAAACAACCGTTTTGTGAATTTTGTACAACCATGCAGTTGTTCCGCACTGCAGCCAACGTGCTAATTTACAATATTTAATTATTATTGATAGATCATGCAGTTACATCAAACCAGACACGTGAGGGTAATTACTTTTAAAACTCACAAGATGACCATTACATTTCACTCTGACTAATAAATATGATGTGTCAAACTACGGTACAACTTAATTCTCTATACTAACACTTCATAATCAGGGTGCAAAGAAAATCAGTTTCCAACTTGCCCAAGATTGCAGCTTGCCCTTTGGCAAAGCTGTAACTAGGGTGTTACATGTACAAGCCCAACAGTTAAAGTTGCTAACCCAAAAAAATTCTCACTAGCACTGCACAATGAAATAACTAGTTCAAGATCAAAATTGAAACTTACAATAATTAGCTCTCTGTTACAGTACTTCAATCTGTAATTTAAATTTCCTCATTTTTTTTTTTTTTTTCACAAAAATCTTCACTTACCTATCGGGTAAGTAAAGGATAGAATCTTCTAACCTGAATGCAAAATCCACTAGTCCTGGGCTATTGGATATGACTATCTTTGCATGCTGATAATATATTTGACACCTTTGTTTGTTTCTCTAGATAATTTATAACTTAGCTATGTTTTTAATTAACCCATATTTGATTAGACAGTGCTATAGACACACTGATTGATATGTTGGTATCTTTGATTTGATAATTGGAACACTTTCCTAAGAGGGAAAAAAAGAAAGTTAAAAAAATTAAGACTAATTAATGACTATTAATGACTACTGGTATGTTACCATGTTGTTATCAAGTTTGAGGTCTGTATTGTAAGATGTGGATTTTAACAAGGCTTTCCTAGTGAGTTATTGACAAAATACAAAGCATCTAGGCCATGAATCAACCTTCAAAAGTCTAAGATCTGTTTGTTACAGTATGGACCAGGAGAACAAGACTAGCAATGGGATTTTGTTATATCTCTCATTCTTGAGCAATGAGAACATTTCAAGTCATTGATCGTGCATAGGAATCAGGTTATATACCTACACTGTAGAACATGGCCTAGTACAAAATTGATCAAGTACAGTACATATAATTAATATAATTAAAAATATTGTCTGACTCAGAGACAGATCAGTAATGATTTTAAGTAAAGAGTGATCAGCAGGTAAATTCAGTACCATTTACTGTTTTCATTGCACAAATTTCAGACACTTGACAATGCTAGGGTAAGATTGATGGCAAGTCAAACATCATAACAGTTAAGTCTGCAAAACTTACCTTTCCAACATTTTGTTCCAGTCTTTGTAATGCATGCAGGATTCTTTCTTTTTGAGTTTTGTCCATAAAACGTTTTGACACCTGAAGTAGACAACAGCTGGTGACTTAGGGATAATAGATTTATCCTGTCAGGTACGCCCCATAAGCTCGAGCCTGACAGTCAACATGCAAATTTTCTGCTTTTCTTATGACAAATTCACATGTCATTAGAATTATACAAACTTGAATCTCTGCTAGCAGATCTATATCTTCCACAAAAGGACACAAAAGCTGTAGACCCTGCCACTCACAGGCGCATCTGACATATCACTTTTAACATACATGTAGATTGTACAGTCATGTACATGTACATGGGTATTGCTTCTCTGTAATTAACAGATTCTATCATACATCTGTATATTAGTATATTTATCTACTAGCGTTCTATCACAAATGCCGTTCTTTGATAGGCTACTCTACTCGCTATTTATTCTATGATTGATAGTGAGTAGCGTAGCAGTGTACCCTTGCTAACAAAATGACGGCTGCTTCTTGGTGTATTCAAAGTGTCTGTGAAGAGGATTTAGATAAAGTTTTGAACAACTAGTAGATTTATACTAAAACAATAATAATAAGGGTGTATATAGCATTTTGGGCTGATTTTTATTTTTTGCAGGATCGAGCTAATTTTTGGCAGACAGACTTGTTTTGACATGAAAAGCATCATTACGTAATTGTTTTTGTTGATTTGTGCTTCATTTTTGAGAAATAACGTATGCAAAAAAACTCAGTTTTGCGAGCGGCATCTTTTGGAGGGAATCCTTCAAAGGTGGATTTTGACGCAGCGTGAATTTAAACTGTTACTTTTAGCGGCTTCAACGGCCCAGTTTTTTTTTGTTTAAATAGATGTTTTGATTTTTGAAAGAAGTAGAGAAATAGACCTGAAAAAAAAATCGACCGACTCGAATCCGGCCGGTTCAGCGCCTTATTCCCTTGCGCTAACGAAGCAACAATAAGAGAATAGTGTAATTATATGAATAATAAAACTAGCGGCAAATAACACGCTTCGGTGACTTCATTGTTTAGCAAAACAAAAGGTTTCTTTTGTTTTTCACTCAACAAAAGATCTCCAAAAGATACCCTTGGAAAACTGAGTTTTTTGCATACGTTATTTCTTGAAAACGAAGCGCAAATCAACAAAAACAATTACGCAACGATGCTTTTCATGTCAAAACAAGTCAGCCTGCCAAAAATTAAATCGATCCCGCAAAAAATAAAAATCAGCCCAGAATGCTATATATGCCCTTTTTGCATGAAAGCCTTCAAATTATTAGATTATTCGCTGTCAATTTCTATGCGTGATAGTTCACCACTACATTTTCTCTGATTCTTATTGGTTTAAATTGATCACGTGACGCGATAGTGTTCGTCCGCGGAGAAACACTATCAGCCCATAATGCCCGTCCATGGAAAATACCTGGATGGATAGTACTCGTCCATGAAAATTTTTCTGTAAAAAAGCCGACTTGTAGAAAATAAGCAATTGAAATTGTATTGGTGGGTTTTTGTCTGTTGTCTTTTTTATATTTCACATTTGGCTGTCACGGCTAACATCTCAAAAAGTTGAAAGTAATTCAATATGATTTTTGAATTGGCGCACAGAAGAAAATTTAGTGGCGAACAATAAAGACAATAGAGTGTTTATGTCTCGGAACTATCGGTCCGATAGTTGCGCCTTGGAAATTTGATTTCTTAAAACTAGCATATTTGCCCTCCAAGTTTCGCTTCTTCGGCAAATATTTGTTTTAAGAACATCACATTTCCGCGGGGCAACTATCAGCCAATAGTTCCTCGACAGAAACACTCTATTGTTTAAACAGAAATCTCGAGCTCATAATCTAATTGTTAAATATAACTTGTACAGTGCACATTTAAATACAAAGTTCAAAGTTACCTGTGGAAGGAGGGCTTTTAAATGAGGGTTAAGTGCTGAACCAACAACTTCACTGAGTTGTACCAAAGCTTCCAATGAACTGTAAAAAACTTGTGTGTCTGATGAAGCCTTAACACAGTCAAACAATTTAAACAGCATTACGTCATTCAATGTAAATGCCATGCATCAGGCCTGCATGGGATGAGACCTTTTTAATTTGGCTCAACAAGGCACATATATACACAGCAAGGATCAGATCTTACCAGTGCAGCCCTGAGAGGGACTATAAGTTTTGATAAAATCGGTAATGTCCGAGATGCAGCATCGTCTACTTCAAGCATTTCTCTAAATCCTTCACGAGCAACGAACATGTAAGGGTGTTTGGTCTCTCTAAGACCCTGTAATGAACAAAAATGGTTTTGTAACAATTACTGGGATTCCGGATCACTTTGCACATTGAATCTTCAGCATCTTCAGCACCATCATTTATTATATGATCTTGCAGGACCTTCCATGTATTCTTAACAATCTTGTATGATTCTCAAGGACCTTGCAATGACCCCGAGGGATCCTCCAAGATTCCACAAAATTTTTTGACTGTCTTCCTCAAGATTTTTCCAATTAAAATCCACATCCCATCAATAATCTTTTTTAGATTTTCCTAAAGTTGTTTAAGGATCCTTGAAAGATCCCCCATCCCTTTAGCTCGTTGGCAATCTTGCATGGCTTTTCAATGATGGGTTCAACTATGGAGTACATAATTGTACAATGTACAACCACCAAATTGAATTGAACTTGAACATAGTACTTAATAAAGACTTACATGTACCTCTGCTAAAGTAATTAACACAGGATCAAAAGACAGGTTATCAGGAGGAGTATTCCACTGAAGTTTGTGTTTAACAGAGCCATGAACCAACCTTGGAATTATAATAAAATAAACAAAGCAATACTGTCAAATGTAACCATTCAAACATAAATTGGGAATAACATGCACACTTGGGTTTGAGCCTAGCCCATCAGACTGGCACGTATCTCTGGCTTCTGTGTAATGAAGTAACAAGGAGTACTACCCCTCCCTGGATGGGCTGCTAGTCCACCGCAGGGTTATTTTACACCGGCCTGGGCTATAAGTCAGTATTGGCAAAACAAACTATGCTGCCCACTGCCTCTAGGCCCAGTTGATCAAAGGATGGATCACTATCCACCAGATCACTCTATATTGCTATCCAGTGGATAACATACTTCATTATATAAATACGAGTGAAATACCAAGATTTTTCCTTTTACTAAAAAATCGTATCTTCATCATGCACAGTGAAGATACTATTTTTATCTTTCACACTGTGAAGATATCATTACTTTTTGATAACATCTTTCTTTTGTCCCTTTAACTACATTTAAATTTGTTGATGTATGATCGAAACATCTTCGGATCTTCTTCGGTCATCTTCGGCAATCTTCGACAATCTTTGGGAAATGTTCGGAAAATGTTCAGAACCATTCATCTGGCCTTCAGAACAATTTTGGAAAATCTTCGGAAATCTTCAGAAAGTGGTCAGACATCTTTGGAAAACTGTCAAAAACGTCGTCATTACTATGTTTATATAATAAACAGAATATTACATGGCTGCTTGTGGATACAAATTTACACTTCTCTTGTTCAACTCAATATCTCACTTGTTGGCTGCACTCACTCGTGAGATATTGAGTTGAACACTTGAAGCTAAAATTCATATCCACGCATGGGCATGTAGTATCCTCTATTTGTTTTGCCAATTTTTATCCACTGGATAATGATTTGTCTAGTTAAACAACTAGTGTGGAATAGCATTATCCAGTCTTTGTCAAGCCCAAGAACACAATATACAATGGTCCTGGTTATGACTTCAGGACTCACATGATCTTAAGTCAAACAAACCAAGCACTTGACCGTGGTACCATCCAGTATATACATTGCTGTCATGAAAGTTGTGCTGGTCTAATAGTTAGTGCATCAAACTCCTAAGTTCAACAGACTTGATCATGACTGATTCTCTGCAGACATGATCACATGAGTATCCAATTACAGGTATCCATTTACAACTTGTTGTAATTGGATACCTATAATCATTGAATACCTATATTATCCACGCGCCAATTATGTGCACTTGGAATGAATGGCTCCCTTCTTAATGGGGGTGTTTCCCTACTGTTTGAAACTTCTTCTGACTTTGCTCGAAAGATGTTCTTAAAACTTTTTAATCTAGATTAATTTAAATTAACCTTTAATACAATTAATGTATTTCATAATTGGACCTTGTTTCTTACAAATTCAGGGAGTATTTACTACTCATAATTTCAGTTCGGCATTGCACTACATGCTCATACGATTTTGAAATTACTTGCCTGATTGCCCCCTAAAATATTATTGTATGCAACTCAGTTGAGTTTTATATCAAGTAATTTATGTTTAAGCATTAGTCTCAGTATGGCAATTTATAGTCAATGCCTCTCTCCACCTAGGTGTACATGTACTTGTGTAAATGGATACTAGTGAATTTAGTGCTAGGGGAAACCCTGTGATGGACCAGCACCTAATCCAAGGAGAGAAGCAATTTTGTACTCTTGGCTAGTCCCTTCATGCTAGAGGACCAAACTACTATGTCAAGTAAGACCATCCTTGAAAAATAATATAACTCAAAGGGCCACATGTACATGAGCTCAGAGTGTCTGTGTCAGAAATGAAATTGTCCAAAATGTGAAGCCTGAATTTAACAATGATTACCCTAAACATTAACCATGCTGATATACCTGTAGGGTAATTTAGAGTGATTTATTTATATGTTTGTGTTGTCTAAACCAGGATCTTTAAGACTGTAAGTTGTTATTGGTCGTAGAGACATGGAAAGTTGATTGATCTGTCAGGAGCAGTAATTGTTGTCAGTTTTGGTCTGCCTATATTTCTCAGTTCAATTTGTGCCACAGAAAGGTCTATTTAGTGTCTATTTAATTTGCTTTGGATTCTTCACAACTAATGGCATCACAGTTAAACTGATCCTGACATAAATCACAGATTTCCATACATGGTAGGAGTCTGGATAAAAGAAATATTATTATATTCCCTTAATGTCATACCAAATGAATTTGTTAAACTACATTTCTCTCTGCTCATCATTGCTTAGTTGAAAAGATATTAAAGTAATAATGCAAATTGAGACAGATTATAGGTCTTAAAATGAATTATCTGTCTAGTTACACTATTCCAGACATGTTGATGAATTAATCTCGCAGATTATCTCCTGCTATTTACCTAAAAATATATTTTAATTGTTTTTAAAATGGACAAAATGCAGACAGACTGATAACATATATTTCATCACTAGAGATAAATTTGGCCAGTGTACACATACAGTAGTTCCAAGCTTATCACCGCCACAGGCTGCACTCTACCATTTTTTTGTGTATGTGTGTGTGTGTCACCTGATTTTGGCTGGGATGTCCTTACTAGCAAATTGCCCATACCCATTTACAGGTATGCACCACAGTCTGATATGACAGGGTACTTGCCAAACTCAAATCTGGAGCTCAAAGCCAAAGTTCGACATCCAATTAGAATTATATTTCAAGCTGGAAATACATGTATTTACTTTGAGTCTTTCTCTCAGACAGCAATACTAATTATGCCTTGTTTATGTAAGCTTACAAAAATATCAAGTAAATAATAAAACACAAAAAAGTAGTGATATGAATTACTAGTATTTCTGGCATGTAATAGAGATTTTAAAACTCATATAAGCACTGCAGCCCTTAATGTCAGCAAACTGAGTTTGGGCCGCCTGTATCACACTGATTGCACTTAATTTGACCTAATTCAATTTGCTGCTGCAATAATTCATTAATTTAATGTAGCAGAAAGGTTTTACGATTAATTAGACCCACCTGCAAGGTACTCCACCATTTGCGTAACTTGTAGCAAATGAAGACTTTGGTGTCTTGTCGTTGAACTAAAATCAAGGCCATAAATTATTAAGCTTTGTTTACTATTGTCAAATAAATTAACACAGTAAGATGAATCATTTACAAGTTTTACTGAAATCTTCTACACACCAAGATAATATAAGGTCTCAGCCAAAAGGACGCCACCAATTTAACTAAAGATCTACCCAAATGTGCAACAAGTCGAGCAAAACATGCTTACTGGGTCAACAGTCTTTGGATTCAAAATGTCTGAAGGACGTTGCTTCGCCGCTGACGTCGAGACTTTTGCAGCCGAAACAAGCTGTTTAGAACCACCATCAGAGCTTTTAAGACGTTTCTTGGCTTCACTAGTTCTTGGTATTGGTGTCTTACTACCTTGGACAACAGGAGAAGGAGTTTTCTTTCCACGAGAAACTACATAACTACGGTCGCCATGAAGCGATGCAGAAGCCATTTTCTTTTTGACAAGCTTTCCCCTACCGGGGTGGTGTAGAACCAAATGATGGGATATATTCCATGGGTGGGTGGGTGGGAAAGCTCTCTTAAAGAGCAGTACACTTGTACTTGAAAGTAACTATAGGGTTCTAATTTTTGTCTCGGAAAGTACACTTCAACAGCTTCCTCTTTTCTCTTAAATTGTCTTACGAGAAGCGAAAAATAGCGTCAAGCAAAATGTGACCGCGCGAAAACTGAGCCGATAACTGGGGAAAAGAGGGACTGCCTGTAGTCTATTCATATCACGGAACCAGTCAGGGGCCCAGTGAAATTATCAACTAGAAGTTAATGAGTCCACCCAGGTAATTGTCCCTCTTTCACACTAGGCCGAGTTACTGTCTTAACGGCGAACTCCTCTATTAACTATGTCTGGGAGCACGTGTCGCCAGGAAGAGCTCAGACGGGCTATCCACCTCAAGCGAGAAAACAGGCTTTAAGATCATCCAGTCAGTGCTTCAGAGAATGGTTCAAGTATCGATAAGTACATTTTTCTGCCCTTAGCTGTTCTTTAAGTTTTAAAATTTATTGTGGTTGGCAAGGCTTAGTTTCTGGATCATTGAAGTGTAGAGCAAACTTCAAAATGCATCTGAATTATTAAAATCAAGTAACAGATCAGGCGATCAAGTATAGTCTGAAGATGGGAGAGGGTGGAAGTTACCCCCTGTAATGGACTATACGTAGGGCGAGGAACTACGCTGAGTTGGTGTATAGGAAGGAGTGGGAAAACTATCATCTAGGTATCTAGAGGAGCTTTTTATAAGATCATTTCAAGAGAGAAGAAAACGTTGTGGAAAGGTGTTCGCAGGAGTAATTTTCTATCGAGGGGAAATGAGGGTGACTTTTTCTGTCAAAAATAGTATATAAAAGACTAAGAGCTTCGACCTCCTTGTGGAGCCTTCCCTTACAAAACTTTGTTTTCCTCCCCCCCCCCCCCCCCACCCCCCCCCTCCCCCCCCCCCCCACTAGTAAGCTAGCTAATAATAAATAATGAAAGTAAAACTGGTGTCAGCTGTGTGAATCTTGATACAACACAGAAACAGATAAGTATTGCGCTACTATAGGCAGATGGCTTTCCCGCACGACAGCGGATGCCTACAAGCGAGGACGGAGAAGAAACTAGTAGAAGTAGGGACGCTGAAAACTCAACAAAAAATGGGCTAGAGAAGAGTAGTCGACATCCAGATTACACACTAAACAGAGGGTGTATTTTAGTAGGGGCGTATTTCGTCTTCTTGGTGTGGAGGTTTATTAGCCTCGCTCTGTACTCTATCTACGCCACGGATTGTTTCTTACGCGCAAAGCTTGCCACTTTGAGATGCGAGAACTTCACGGTATATCCAAACCCGACGAGATTTGAAATTGCTTGGCAATCGTGTTCGGCTGTGAACAATTTCATCGCGATTGGGATTTTATTCAAACTGCCGGAGTTTCCTGGTTGGAACGTTGTGTCCGCTCGTCTCGTTAGACTCGCTCGGTTTTGGTCTTTCCTCTTTCAACTGGTCGTGGTGATTAGCTACAATCTGATGCTCTACTGCCACGAACATTTGGCTGAGAGCGCGATCATTGAAGTTGGGTTCATTGTCGATGAAATTACCATCACGGCCGTGGTTTGCTTGTGGAATTTTATACCCGCACCTCACGACAGGTCCGACGGCTTCGCGTGCCTCTCCGTGGCTTACAAACTGACACTTGTTGTGTTCTTTTTAGAAAACTTCTTCCTCTTTCTGTTAATGTCTTCTCAAGCTGCGTTGGACATTACTGGAATTCACGAATTCGAAACTAGATCGAAAGGTTTACAGGCGTTGGGAATTGTCTTCAACGCAACGGAGGCGACATTCTATTTTGCTGTCATGAAGTTCATGTGGAATAAACTGTTTGAAGGAGATGGGGAAGACCTCTTAAAAAAAGATACAATTTGAGCAAAAGTGTTACAGACACTTTTATATAAGACTATACGCCAACACGGCAGGATAACTCAGTCGTAAAAAAATAATAATAATCAGCAGGTGACACTAAAGATTTTGTGGCTCAGTGATACGTGCGAATTAGAACAAAAACTAATTACAAAAGTCAAAACAATACGAACTTATTTTAGTAACAAAGAAATAACAAGGCGTAGTGCCTAGAGCCAAACCACTTTTACTTCATGATTAGTCGCTGTTTGAATTTGCTCGAAAAAACCCATACGCAACGGGGGAACAACAAACGCTCGCGCGCTAGCAGTCTATCGCCACGGAAAGATTCTAGAAGTCTCACTGTACTCACAGAAAATTACTTCCTAGTTTGACCCGCAATTTATGAGACTGGGACAGGCTTATCACAGACAATTCATGACAAAAAGAACCGGAATATGTACTTCATGAAGATTGATTTTTTGTGAGTACATTGAACCTGTTGGCACATGCGCATCAAACAGGCGGAAGACCCCTTCCTGGAGGCATGCCATAAGACTTAGGAACCCATTTTGTTTGCGTACTCTTTGGGCTAGATGGAGGGCTGTCTGTTGTTACACCTCGCCTCCTGTCCAGTTCCCGTATAATGGAAGGATCGAGCGATCCTCGGCGATGCTCGGGCTTGAAGCTTGAAGGCGCTAAGTTTAGGTTGACTTTAGGTTTAGTGGGAGGCGAAGATGTCATTCGGGTTATGAAGGTCGAACCAGAATCGTCCGACGAGTCTTCGATTGATTTCGGTCGTGGGGGCGTCGATAACGATGGCAAAATAACCTTGCCGTGCTTTTTGCCAAGAGTCGATAAATCCTCACAGGATCTCGACAACAGCATGTTCGATGGTGGGCTCGCATCCAAAAGGGAGGATTCCGAGCAAAGATTTTCGGAAGACTTCGACAAACTTCGGCTGAGATCGAGAGGCTCAAGATATGGCATTGATCCAGATCGTGGTCGGTGTTTAAGTAGCGTCTTGCCAGTCTTGCGATCGTTTAATGATGACGTCGAATGCGGCCTAATGCGATGATCACCTTTTGTTGACCCAACTTGCAATTGTAAGCGCTGTTTTCTTTTTTCCAACATGATCTGTTCCTGTTTTTCCTGCAATTGTGCCATCTTTTTAACCATTTCTTTTTGCCTGTTAGTCATCTGAGACATGTTGTATTGCTTCTGTCTCTCCAGATCTTTTACCTGCTTAGCGTGCCTTTGACTATGATAAATGTTTGACGCGTACAGATTCTCGATCGCGGAACGCGACTGAATAAGGAACGATTCATAAAACGCGTTTTCTACGGGCGAGCGTTCCTTTTCGGTGACATCTTCACTGTCGTCGGTGACAGTCACTGTCGGTGTGTGAGGCTCGTTTGACATAACGTGATAGCTGCAAGAAAAAAAATGCAATTGAAAATAATTTAGTTCAACAATGTGTAATCACAAATAAACTCAGCACATTCCTCGGTTGCCGCGCTGACTTGAATGAAACGCGCGGAAACGAACGCATGTGGCGCGTCCAAGTAATTAGAAACGCCGCGTGTTTTGTGTTATTTCAATCCCAACTTCTGTTTGTTGCATCCAAAAGAAAGCAATTTTAACTTAAAATATCGACTGCAAAGACCAGAACGAGTTGACTTTTTCAACAGAAAGAGCTCCCCTTCAAACTAGTAAATTAAATTTGAAACAGAAGTGCAAATCAACTTAAAAGTTCTTTTCATGGACATAATTAGCTAAATGATTTTCTTTTGTCTCGATTTTGCTCTTTCATTAAGTAACATCGGGACTTGTCTTTGTATTAGTAAACGGCCGAATATATACAACTTTCATTGCAAATTATAACTATTCAAAAGCGAAATGGAACATTATGAAATCAGCGTTATTGCTTTCTGTCCTTCAAGCAGAAATAATAGCCCATGAAAAAGTTTAGCTCATGCCATATATTTTTATGGCGCAATTGCAAGTGAGAAACTTCGGTCTAATGCAGTACACACTGTTGAGTATTAAAATGCACTTTGTGATACTAATAGAGAATACTACTGACACCAAATCAGCGACGATAAATAGGTTAATTAGAGTGAAAAACCCGCGGTCAGCCAGGCCAGATTTTGCGCGATAACTGAAGGGGTGCGATGTACAACATGCAATAAACGAATTTTTCCCCTGGAAAGACCAGGGGCAAGTGTTGGAAGTTGATGTCGTGTACAATACTTTGGCGCCACAATAAATAGACGAAGGCACCAGTCAAGCGGTACATTTAATTAAACCTGCCTGTTACCACAAGAAGTATCCTACTCACCTCAATCAATTCTTCTTCAGAACAGAACGTCTTCGCTAGCCGTGGGTTTAATGACCGATGCAGAGCTCGCTTTACTTTAACGTAGTAAAGAAGACCAAATCATGTTCCATTTAGTCGCTGTTTGGCTGGAGATTGATATGTTATTTGCTATAGTTAACGAGCTATTATGCATTTGATGTTGGCGGCTTTTGTTCACAAAAGAAAGGTGACAGCACCAGCGATTGCTTTTAGCGTGATGACACGCGGCACGTGAAGTTATCTTTCCCCTCTCCAGTCCCCTCCTCCTCTCCCTCTTCCTCTGTCCACAATGAATCCGGAAATAAAGAAGCCCACAGTGCAAAAGTTTGGCTAAAGCCCGGGTGGGGGAGGGACGGGAGGGGAAAGGGGGCCGGAGCGGCGGGGGAGATAGAACTCCCATCTGAAAATATCAGGGATGCTCATCGAATTTTTTTTCGCTGTTCAGAAAAGGAGCTTGCGCTTCTGGACCGGACTAGCGAGACCGGCGGAAATCGAGCCTAAAAATAAGAGCGTCTTTTGTTGTTACTGATTTCTTCGAGTGTACCCTAAAAGATGCTTTGACAGCTAAAGCTAGTGACGTTTCGTCATGAACACCCTATCCTAAGTGAGGCAGACGAGGAGCATCCCCAATCTTTTCATGTGGCCGTGATAGTCCTCCTGTGGGCTGCAGCTGTTCCCAATGCTGAATGGGTTTATCTGTTAGCTTCCCTTGTTTAGCTAAGAGCGCTTTCCATTTGTTAGAACTGGCCGGTCGGATTGGTCCGTCCGTAAATGAAATGCGCGAGTTCTGAGAATTGTCAGAACTGCTTCTGGCCAGATTGGCCCTCCTTATGGAGTAGGGCCGCTCAGTTTTCCCGGTCCGGGGCGCAACGCGGAAATTGCGCGGGAATTCTACGCGTTGAAAATGACTGTCAATCATCTCAGTCAACGATGAGCATATACAGTCGAACCACTCCACAACGGCCAGTTTGGGGACAGAGCAAGAGGAAAGAGGCTGTTGCAAAGAGGCGGTCGTTATTGGGAGGAAAAAGTGTAATTTGACACCCGTTTTTTCGAAGCTGTTTTTTTCGGGCTTTATTTATTGTACATAAACATTTTAAATACAACACCATAAAAAATATATATGTAGGATTATGTGTCTTAGTTACCCTCCATCTTCTCTTTTATATTTGTTGATGAAGGATACTGAGTGCCCTTGGCGAAGAGTTCAGCGATAACTTTCAAACGTTTTGCGCGGACCTTTTGCGACTGGAATTAAGGTTGGTTGCAGAAATGCTGGCCCCGAAATTAATTTAGAATTTATTTCTTTATTTTGAAGGCTATGAATTGAAGTACGTGTTTCCATGTATTTTGCCAGCAACAATGAAAACTATTGCTTAAAACTCGCTTAAACTCAACTACTGATAAGCTTAATATTAATTAATTCAAAAGAAATCTTTTCCTTGCTTTTTTGTCAACGCAAATCGATCAGTCTAGCCTAGCTGCAGTCACTTCGTCCTCCAAAGACCATGGAAAGCACTGAATAGCGCTTAACACTTCCTTAATTTCTTAACTCAAGCGTAAAATCTCTTCGTGTTATTGACAAGTCGGCCGATGTAAACCGAAACTGTTTATTACAATTGTTATCGCTAGTGTTCCGAGTTCCCTAGTTCCCGGGTAGAGTTGCCATATCGGGAACCATGTGTTTACTAGCCTGCGAACGGGCTCCCGGTGAGGACGGAAAAAAACATTCGGCAAGCGCGAAACAGAAGAATTCGGAGAGCGGAGCGATCGGGGCGGGGACAGAGCTCACTGGGAGCCTGTTCGCAGGCTAGTGTTTACCTGTACAATAGAACATAGATATGGAACTCTATGGACCAATCAGAGCTCGCGTAGCGTCTCAATTATTTTATAAAATCGATAGAAACACAAAGACAATGTTTTCGATTTTTTTTTTAGAAAACAACCTAAAAAAATTAGAGTAAATTTATTTATAATCTATGCTACCATACGAATTTGTACTCCGAAGCAGTGGATCTTCCTCTACAGAGTTGAAAAAAATTCGCTGGTGACGACCACAAAGTTGCTGGAACCTTTCTCTTATCTTCTTAGAAAAGAAGCAAAACAGGAGGAAATTGGCAAAACCCTGGCTGTTGTCTCCAATGCCCTGAAACAAAAGCAAATTTGGGGAACGTGAAAGATTTCTACTATTGCATAATCTTTGTGAAAGTTATTAAATGATGGATTTTGATCTTTGCAGGATCTTTTAAATTTGAAATTGTCACCTTTAAAATCACATGCTACTCTAGCTAGATCTCCTAACAAAGTGTCCAGTGAGGGACCTACAGTGTACTAAGGTTTTCATATATCAGATTTTGAAAGTGTTTGAAGTGTTTTTTTTTTCTCAGGGAGAATAAATCAAAGTTTTCACTCTACCGTACCATGACAGGGGGAAAGGTCTGGAGGGTATGGCAGAGAGCAGGGGACAGATCTGACTGCTCCAGACAATTTTGTTACTAAAGAAGTGCCACGTATATCATAAATTAAACTAAGCCTTGCACATAAGGTAAAATGGTCCAACAGTTACCTGAAGTATGACGAGGACTTGCAGGGCATGGCTGGGACCAGTGTTCTGACAATCTGGCAAACAAGCTAGAAAGCGGAAAAACCTTATAGTCCCCCAGATGTGCACCAGTATAAAGACTACAGGAATGAGTATTAACTTTTGATCTGCCCTCTTTGCTACCTCCACAGATCTCACTGTTATAAAAGGACTGCCTGGCAAAAATCCAGCGCTCACCTAAAGAATCAAAAGCACAAACTGTCCACATCACTTGAATCAGATTTCAGTTGATCTCAAAGATTTCAATTTTTGTTCAAAACAGATTCTAAAGTGGCAGTCACCAAGACTTCAACTGCATGTTTTAATTAAGGTCTGTCAACGTTTTTCTAGTCATTCAGAGGCTAGTCTCTTGTGCAGATGCTCGTTGGACTAGTCACGCAATCTTTCCCTCCCCCGCGTCGCGTGACAAGTTTTAAAAACGTCTGAATAAGAGGCTTCTCAGAGGCCGGACAACTTTATTCTGGAAGCGCCAGGATTTCAAAGCAGACCTTACGATATCTGAACATGGTCATTCTACAGACATTCCATAGCCATTCTAAACATTTCTTTCCCAGTGCCAGGATGTGTTTCCAGGAACAACATCGTTACTAGTACCTAATTTCCCTTGATTATCAGAGAATAAAGGGAAGAACCATCATTCACATGAACTTTCTCCATTTTTACATTACTTCAGTTAAACAGCGGAGAATGGATACTTTCTGGAACAACACAACTCCTCCCATATATGATATGATTGACTGACAAGTTTCCAAACTGAAAATTTGAATTAAACTTCTAAAAGTCCGGACGTATGCTTTGGGGTACGTAGCCTGTTTCCGAATATGCCGGCCTTAGAGTTACAGAACCATCTGTCACGGAGTTTGCTCAGTGTTGCCATTGCAACGACAAGTTTAGCCTGCGTAGCAAACGTTCCCTTACGAAGAACTTTTCCGCATTCTGGCCGCGCGTAAATTTTGAAGCAAGAGCAAAACATCGACGAAGCAGGGGTTGGTGCCTAGGGGAACGCTTGCTACACAGGCTACGACAAGGTATTATCACAGGACTTCGCCGCATCTAAATTACCACTTCATCGTTTATCTTTTGACCTACGTGACAGCCTTCTCGTTATTTTTAAGTCACGCAACGTAAAAGCTTTGAAATTTAAACGTGTTCTCTCTACATGTATTGCCAAATGACTTATCCTGTAGAGCTACAACTTTGTAGAGCGTAATTGTTTACAGGACCTCATATCTGGTTAAACTAAAACCGCAGAAAGATATCGATAGGAAAATTATGCGTAAATTTAAATTGCGCGTAAATTGGAGCGAGAGCAAAAAATCGACGAAGCAGGGGGTGGTGCCTCGGGGACAGGCTACGACAAACTTCGACGCATCTAAATTACTACTTTTGACCTACGTGACAGCGCTCTCGCCATTTTTAAGTCACACAAAGAAAAAGCTTTGAAATTTAAACGTGTTCTATATATTGCCAAACGACGTATCCTGGCGAGCTACAACTTTGCAGAACGTAATTTTTTACAGGACCTTATATATGGTTAAACTAAAACCACAGAAGGAAACGTAAATTTTTAATCTGAAATATGACAATGTCACATGACAACCGGCACTAAGAATGTTAGGTCCTCCACCCCCACACCCCCGCATGCACATGACTTCTTCCCTTTCAATATTGTTCAATCCCCACAAAAACTACAGTTCATAGCCCTAAACTATTTTAAATACCTGTCGCCGTATGTGCGTCTTCACCAACACGTAGAATATAGGAATGGTAATATAAGCTATCATTTCCCATGCCTTTCCAGTAACGCACATCCATAACACCATCATCCACCAGGCTTGATCATTTGAGATCCAACACCAGCCAGATGAACACACGTTTCCTGCATACCCAAATCCCTCCAACGCTAAGCATATCATTGCAATCGTCAGAGGAATTCCCAATGCCGTCACGTGAAATAACCTTAAGACCCGCTTTTCCCGTTCCAATGAAATCCCTCTGCAGATAATCAAATAAAAATATAACGACAAATAGACGGTCCAGAAGAAAGAAAATAGAAGGGCGATCGCTCCGACTGCTGCTTGAATTCGGCAACCGACGCTTGGCCCTGGACTGGTTCCCCATAGGCCTACAATATTTGCTCCAGCTACTAAAAAATCGCCAACAGATATAAACACGATCATTCGGCGTGAATTCGTTCTCAAATCAGGCCACATCCAGAAGGTAGCAAATATTGCCAACGTTCCAGCTATTGACAGTGAAGCTGTCGTGGTAGATAAGGCCTTATTTAAGCTTCCCTTTGCAATACTTGAGTGATTTAGCGTGTTTCCTAGAAGTGTTGGTTCGTTGGCCAAGTCGGAGAAATTCGCCTCGAAAAACGCGTCCATGCTGTGAAATTGAACTATGTTCGGAAGCGTGACCTGTTCTCGTCGATTTTAATACACGTAATTAAACCTTTAGCTTCAACGATGATAATCATATATATCATATGGTGCCACAATCATTTATAAGGTCCAGAATACGGTTTATTTATTCCTCGCTGCTCACTCGCACTAAAGTGTGACCTGACCTGATGATTTTTACATGTTAGTCACGCGTTAAAATCGTAAATAACAAATACTGTATTAATCGCCAAGAACATTGAAAAGTTAGGGAAGAAAAATACTTTGCTGACGCCCAAGGTAAACTACCAAGAAACTATAGTATTAGAAACTCTTATTATTTTAAATTGCTTATTAAAAGGCGAATCAAATCGTAAAACAACGCGTTGAATAAAAACATGCCCTTTGACAGGACGCTCTCGGCACGATAGTCAAGGATCGGCCGAGACAGGTATTTCATCAACCTACATATGTTCACATATCGTTTCTAAGCTTATTCATTGTCAGATTTATCACTTTCCCAACTGTATTTAGTTTTCGTGAAATTTCGCGCCACGGTTGAACTTGAAGATAGAGTATAAAAGTCCAATATCATTAGTACATTGATCACAGACCTTTCGATAATGGTAACTTTTCTGAAAGCTGATCAAATGATTACTGACAACCACTGAGTGTCATGCGGTCATTGGTTGTTTCCTCGTTCGACCTCTCTCCTCGGCAGAAGCTTGTCCCCAGCCTCCGAACTACCAGCCTACGGTCAACAAGGCAGCACGAAAGAGGCCTCTGCAGAGGAGAGAGACGCCATGCATTATAAAAATGTCCTTTGCGGAAGATTGACACGCGGAGTTTTTATTTTATACCATAGTTTTGTCCAGTGGACTATTGGGCAAACTACCTAAAACTGCCGTGTTACGACCCGTGTTGCTATATGGCCGCGTCTCGCAAGGACTGAGAACCACGAAATTCAGCTAATCCGGTCTAGACTGGCATTTAGATCGCTCTACCAGGCATTTACTTGTACTTTTCACTTACTTTTTAGTTACAAAGTTTGACCCACCTCGACATTAAAGCTGAGCATTTTGTCACTTATGCCCTCCCACCTTTTCGCCGATCAAACTCTGAAGAAAGAATTTAATTCCGACAGCAATCCCTCTCCTGAGTAGAAGATAAATAAGAGGTTCTAATAATACGTAAAGTCAAAGAGGCAATTCACCTTAGCGCATGAAGGTGTTAAAAAATGGTCAAAATCTCTAAAGTTTCCTTAAATAAACAGAAAACCCACTGGTCGAGGAAAAAGAACAAGAAAAAGTTATCTGGGTTATGAGGAATGCAAGAGGAATTTTTTCCAAGGTGTGGCGATGTGTGAGCTTGGGAAAATAATTCCTTTTGCACCCAGGGTACTGTGATCAATACCCAAATAAGAAAACGTAACAGCACCGAATCTTTTGTGGTTCTTCTGCCTAACTTATTTGGAACCGGCCTATCGCCCTGACTGACTGTGTGATTTTTCGGAAAATATTTCCAGCTTTCGTTTTAAGGATGGTGTTAAGAAGTTTGAAGATGTCTTTCGAGTCTGCGATGAAAAGACGTTTGATAACTTGAACTGGCAGGAAGCTCTGCCTTTGGGAGTCAGTACATTAATGAAGCTACAATTGAAAAGGTAAAAGCAATCAGTGCTAAGGCAGCTAAAGGAGCCCCGTTATATCAAGACTCAGTGATAAAATGATGTGCTGAAAGACACGTTCAAGGGTTTATTATGCAAAGCAACTTAATCAGATGCCAGAACCGTGAACTCAAAACTCAGTTAAAGAAAACCAAGAAGAAAGAAAGAAGTAAAAAATTAATTAGAAAGCGATTGTGCTTCATAGCATGGTTTTTTGATTCCCATTGATTCTGCTTGCCCAAACCGCCCAGGTAAGCCCAAGGTAAGCCCAAGGTAAGCCCAAGGTAAGCCCAAGGTAAGCCCAAGGTAAGCCCAAGGTAAGCCCAAGGTAAGCCCAAGGTAAGCCCAAGGTAAGCCCAAGGTTTCCTTAAGCCCCAGCCAAACGATCACAACATTTCAACGCAACATATCACAACGCTTAATATTGCTGGAAGCAACATGTTGCGCACGTTTGGCCACCCTGTTGCTACGTGTTGCGACATGTTGGGTGTTGTTGGCTCGAATTTGAAAATGGAATTCGAATTTGTGGATGTTGCATGATGTTGTAGTCGTTTGGCCGGGTTCGTGCAACAATGTTGGTCCCGGGCATGCGCAATGTTCCGGCTGTCATTTCTAGTATCAATAATGTCACACATATACAACTAGTTATTTTATAAGTTTCATTCTTTGCTTAAAATAATGTCTTTTGTCACTGTCTTTTTTTAAATTTATTTTGTTTCAATGGACTTGTATTTTATAATTTTCCTGCTTTCCTACTGTTCGGTGTTTCGTATTATATTCTTACCACTAAATTAGCTTATATGTGTTGTAGTTTGCACTGTGGTCCTTCAAACAGAAAAAAGCTGAGTTACATTCAGTGGTTCGAACTCTGTTCTCGTAACAGTTCTTGTCGCACCACCGAGCTACGCTGAAACCAGTGACTGAACAAAAGATTGTGTGACTAGCCCAGGGAACGTCTACATTCGAGGCAGTCTCCTTCATTTTCATTTCAAATATAGTGGACCCTGCATTGAGCGTCATTTTACGATCATAAAAAGGCATAAGCAAATGCAGAACGAAAATATGTTCTGATTGATCTCTCTCGCAAGATTCCACTTGAATTTAAAAAAACAGGTGTGTTCCTATGCACTAATCACGTGTAAGTATCAATGCGACTGATCAAAGTTCAATGTCCATACTTTTTTTTTTGGCAACCTCTGCATCAAAACCAACAACAAAATAGACAAAAATAGGTATAGGTTACCTTAGACGTTTTAGACTACGAGTAGTCCCTCTTTCGCTTAGTCCGTCGTGCGTGACGCGAAAGAAAACTGCGAGAAAGAAATGGCCGCGCGAAATCCTGGGGGGCGAGGAGCGCGCGAGACCATACTGAGGAGCACGCACGTGATAACAGAGGTGAAACAACCAGGGGCGCACTTTCGATCAACAGCGCAATTACCCCTTACGTTAATTAGGCAGAAAACAAACCACCTTTTTAAAACCAAACAGGAAAGCTAATGCTTTCGTGAGAGTTTTTCGCAGATCAAGCGCTACCTGGCCATGTAGTCTGTACTTATATACTGACTATATCGTTAAGGCTTTTAGGGATACTCAACACACCACCCCAAATAGACCCTGAAGTGTCAAAGGAAAGACATTTAATTGGAAAGGCTTCTTACCCATCAATGGTTAAGAAAATACAAACAAACAAGCAAACCGTGTTTCCAGACATTTATCAAACTCTTCCCTAGGGAACCATCCCCTCACCCTTTTCGCTACATAAAATAAAAGGGCTGTATTTACTGGGGCACCAAATTTTTTGTGTGCACTTTGCACGTTTCACAAAGTTCATATTGTTCCTTGTTTTCCATTAGTTATCTTTCAATCTGAGTAAAACATTACAATAGTTTTCTTTTGGGGGATCACATCTTTTGTCCACTCTGAAGTGACAAAATCACAACCGGATCGTTTCACGTTGGCATTTGAAGCAGAAACGTCACTTAGCAGGTATATATCTATAACAAAGTTCACAGAAAAAGAGAAAACCACTGGAACCAGGGTTGCCATACATGGACAACTGATGTACAATATAGCTCCCTTTGCTTATGAGAGTTAAGGTAAGATTACAAAGTAAAGATTCAAGAAAGGACACGCATCATTTTCATACGGTGCGCAGACATTTCAGGTAATAGCCACAGCAGTAAGTTACTTGGCAACAGGTGCTTCATTTTATGATGTCTGTTTTTATTGGAACTGAACGCTTAGATAATTACTTAAATTTTGATAGCATAGACTGCGATACAACATTTCATTTTTTAACTTATTTGAGCTTTTTAACCTACTGTAAGCGGTATTCCTCTACCATCATACTTGACTCAGTCTCATTGATTAGAAGTGACTGTGTGCGAACGCGACCTATTGTCAGTAGCATAATTCTTTAGCGCGAGGTCTCAGTGCGCCGTGGCTGAATAACTGCAGCTAAATGCTGCTGTGCTTCCTTGATAACCCATTAAACCTCATCCTTAGTACAGCAGGTATTGATAATAATTTCAAATTTGTACACTGGGATTACATGTAAGACCATTTAGAGTCCGCTGTTTCTTCAAGTTTGCAGTCATTCCATTTTACTTTTGGAAATTAATAGAATACCCTCCAGAACTCGGATCTTGTTGAAGTTTGAAATTGTCCGTGGACAAGCCGAAGGGTCGTAGGAAAACATTCCCCAGATCTTTAAGTTTTCCTGAGCAAAAGTGGAAACAACATGAAAATAAGTATAGCTACCTCAAAAATGAAACTAAATGTACCTCTCAAAACATTCACCATACAGTATTGAAGGCTGTTTTTGTTTTCCTTTGTTTTGTTTTTTTTTTTGCACCCTAGCTGAGGGAATCTTGCTAACAAGACTTGTCGCATACAGTCATGCTAATCACTCTCCAGGATTATTCAGATTTTGGACCCAAGAAATGTACATGTATATCCCGAATATCGCAAAAATAGTTTAAAAACTCGACACTGCAAATTTTGTAACTACTCTTTTGAAAAAAAAATGATAAAAATAAAAATAAAAACTTGTTGGAATTGATACATGTATGTGCAGGTAGCATGGGGAAGTATTGTAAATTAACAACTAAATATTTATCCTCTAGTAAATACAGACCTATCATTTCCCCGAATATCCCGAAAATAATTTAAAAACTTGGTGCTGCAAATTTTGTAACCACTGTCTTTTTTCAAGAAAAAATATATCAAAATTGTTGAAATTGATACGTGCATGTAGCATGGGAAAGTATTGTAAATTAACAACTGGTGATATTTGTCTTACACAGACCTATCATTTCCCGAATATCCCGAAAATAATTTAAAAACTTGGTACTGCAAATTTTGTAACTACTGTCTTTTTTCAAGAAAAAATATATCAAAATTGTTGAAATTGATACGTGCATGTAGCATGGGAAAGTATTGTAAATTAACAACTGGTGATATTTGTCTTACACAGACCTATCATTTCCCGAATATCCCGAAAATAATTTAAAAACTTGGTACTGCAAATTTTGTAACTACTGTCTTTTTTCAAGAAAAAATATATCAAAATTGTTGAAATTGATACGTGCATGTAGCATGGGAAAGTATTGTAAATTAACAACTGGTGATATTTGTCTTATACAGACCTATCATTTCCTCTTTCATTTTCTCGTGCTTGACCTTGATTTCTTCAGGTAGTCTCTGCATAAAGAAAATAAAACAATAATAAAACACAGAACAATTTATGAACCATGCATGTGTCTGCTACATGTACACCACCTATGAAACAAGTATCACCAGTGGCGGATCCAGACCTTGAGCTAAGGAGGGGGTGCGGGACAGCGGTTTTTTTTTTTGCTTGCCTTGCCGACTTTTCTTCCTTCTGTGATTTTATCTTTTTTTACATGAAATAAGGGGGGGCCCTAGATCCGCCACTGAATTCACAAATACACACTCATGTCACAGACACTACACAACACATGTACGATTCGGCTCTTCATTCTGACAACTAACTATTCTATAATCCCCAAATGATACATGTATTGTAGCATAAGAATCTACTACCTACAGTATTTCTTCACTTACCATCAGAGCTTCTCTGGCCACATGAGAAGAGCGATCTGCATCAAACACTTTCTGGTAATCTTATAACATGGATGAGAAATTTAAATAACAAATGAGTGGGAATTGTCTACATTAATATAGCCATGAATCTTTACTTTTTCCTAAAAGATTGCTATTTTCTGCTTTATCACAGTTCCTCAGATAATTCAATTAACATCATTATCATGATGCATTATCATCCTGCATTATATGCATAGCACAACCCCTAAAACATGAAAATATCGTTTCAGTTGGTATACAAGTGAGGTGACACTTATACATGTACATGTATGTTTTATGTTTTATCAAAGTTGTAAGCAGGTGAGAACTTCTTTAAGTTTTACCCTCCAAAGCCTCTTCCAATCTGTCCTCATGTTCAAAGCATTGAGCTCTTCTAAGTCTCACTTTAAGGTATTCCGGGTTAAGGTCCAGGGCTAGAGAACGAAAAGCAAATAAATGCTAAGGCTTAGTGGCTAGGAAATTATCCAGGTAGTTACATACATGTATAGTCACTAGGCTACAGTACCGAACAAATATTAGTTGTCACTCCATACTCGATACTCACAAGGACTGAGTATAGACTCTTGATAGCATTCTCTATGAGTTACAGTCGGTAACAATGTAGCTCAATAACATGTAGTCTTTCAAGGAATCACTGAAGAGACAAGCTCAATCATTATTTTCTTGATCTCACAAGACTTTATTCTTGACTCAATTCTCACTAATTGATTCCTGATACTCGATTCTCATAAGAATCAAGTATTGTGTATTGAGTCTTGATCCTTGACTTGAAAGAGACTGTCAACTTACATTTGCCTGCTACTGTATCAATGAACAAGCACAAGCAGGTAAATCCATACTACAGCCAAGAAGTGTTACAGAAGAAATATCAAGTTGTAAGAAGAATAATTACAATACACTGAGTTCATTGAAGTTGTAAAGGAGAAACTCATGGGAATTTTCAACTTAGAAATCCATAATCAGTAATCTCTACCATGTACCTTTTGTGCAGTCATCTATTGCCTCTTTATGTTGGTCCTACAAATAATTAAGTCAACAACTTCGGAGTAAGTCCCAATTTAAGCGGGTAGAGCATAAAATGATATGGACATTAATAACACTTGCAGTCAGCATCAGTTGGTATATATACACAATATAACTGTAGATGAGCATCTCACTTTTTAAAAATAACACTTTGCATGTCTTCTGTTGTCAATCTCAGACTATGGGGAAACATGTCTTTAAATGAACAGTCACTTAAGAGCAACCATCTCAATATTGCCTTGAGGGGTGCAAAATGACAAACAATTGAAAATCCTCAAACTCAGCCAGAATGTAGGTCTAGTGGAACTATACTGTACATGCATTCCAATTTTTTTGAAAAAAATTACCCTAAGTTCAATCAGATTTTTTTGAGGTGCACACCAGCAGCTCTCACATCAGTTTTCAAGGCCTGAGTTGTTTACAACACATGACTTCAAAGACTTGATAGATCATCGCAGTTATATACACAACTTAAGCAGTCGTGAAATTAATGCCTGAAAAAAATTCAGGCCTGAACAGGATTTGCACCCATGACCTCTGCGATACCGGTGCAGTGCTCTACCAACTGAGCTATCAAGCCAACTGGGAGCTGGCCACATTGTGAGTTTGTAATATACCTGTAGATGGTGAAGAATGCAAGTGAATATACGAAATGTCATATATTTGAAGTGCAGAGAAAGATATGAAGACATGATTGATCATCGCAGTTATACACACAACTTAAGCAGTTGTGAAATTAACGCCTGAAAAAAATTCAGGCCTGAATTTCTTTTCAGGCGTTAATTTCACAGCTGCTTAAGTTTTGTGCATAACTGTGATGATCAATCATGTCTTCATACATGTATCTTTCTCCACAGTTCAAATATATGATATTTTGCATATTCACTTGCACATGACTTCAAAATTACCAACAAATAAACAAAAAGATATTATTCAAACAGATAAATACAATTATTATTATTATTCAAAAGATGATAGATTGCTTAACAATTTGAATGTTATATATTAAATAATTTGGCTGTACAGACAAGAATTTTTTAAAAATTTTTTAAAAATTTTTTTTAATTATATTATTTTTAGTTTTTGGCTTATTTTACTGATTTTGGTGTGACTAAAACTGGCTAAATTGCAAGCAGAAATAAACAACTTGGTACATGACATGGTATCATAAAAATAGAAGCCAAAGAATGAGCACCCTTGTTCTTGAAATATTTGCAACAAAATTTTTGGGCAACTTAAAGTGGCCGAACACAATTTCCGCGCATGCTCTTGCTAATGCCATTCAGCGCACGCACAAGGATTACACAAAGCAACCTTGGCGTCGATACAGCAATTATTTTATTTGGTCAATGCCCTCGCTATCTGCACTTTTTTTTTCTTCATAATTGAACAAAGTGTATTTATGGCTTTACTCTTTTATCAAAAACGTATGTTAGAAAAGGTAACAATGCAAAGAACCCAGCAATTCTCAGATTTTTCTTTTTTACCGAAAGAACCCAGTGCAATGCAGCGCATGCATAGTAAGGCAAAAAATTGCGATTGAATGCGGAATAGCTTTCTTAGAAATACGCCTATTTCTCCAGAACCACTCGATAGAATTTTACGAAGTTTGGCCCGAAAATACTTTAGAAAACAAGTAACTGAAATATGGAAAAAAATTGAAAATTGACAGATGCGATTCTAGATATTCTAGTTAAACTTCTACAAGTGATAATTAAAGATCCCTCTGTTTAACCATTATTAAAATAGTGCTAACTTGTGAGCATTGTTACAATCTTGTTGCAAGCAAATGAAAAAGAAAATCTAACGACTAGATTTTCTGCAAAGAAACAGGACTGATTTTGAAGGCCTGTTTATATTTATTCATGTTTTGGCAATGGAACATACATCAGCCTAGCTATCAAAAATCCAAAGTTTGTGTTGTTAACTTGAGTGTAGCAATTTTTGGTGACTAAAGGATCAAGCGTTTTAGAGAAAAAGGAGATTGAAACACAGGTATCAAAACTGTGTTCCGCCACCTTAAACAAGGAAATTTGACAACCCCAACTGGAAGTGGTACTGGGCTCAAAAATCCTCATTTCATGTCACTGTATTCTGATCGATAAAATGGTTCAGGGAGAGTTAAAAAATCTCACTTATTGAACTTAGTAAGAATAATTTTTTTATATATATATTACATGTAAATAGTTCCACTAGAGCTACATTCTGGCCATTTTTGCAGATTTTCGATTTTTTTTCATTTTGCACTAGTCTTCCTCGGGCAATGACCGCTCTTAAATTCCTAGGGAATAAGAGATTAAGACTTTTGTTAATGGAGTGGAAGTCATTTCATTTTCTTTATTAACATATTTCTGTATGGCAAATGTTTCGGGGGGAGGAGAAATATTCAATGGAATATTTGACAAATCATAGTACATGTACATGTAACTTTAAAAAGTATGATCTTGCAAGAGAGAATTCACATCTATAAATGAAGCCGGTCTGTAGTTACAGTGTACTTGTAATGTGAGGAACCTAGTAACATGCATGTGGTAAAAACATTTCTCATACCATTTTGACTAGACAAGCTGCTCTGTTTGCATGGAATACAGATTTTTCCTTAGCAAAATCATTTGGACAGATCATTATTGCATTTGTGTATAACTCTTTAGCTTCAGGATATTCTAAATCAAAACAGAATAATATCAAAGTCAGGATAATGACTATACACTTGGAACATATTTAGTCCAATAATCATGTGTAGATCCATGAAATGCATGCACATGTATCTCTACTTGCCCCAACTACTTTGAAATAACCAGGGAAAGGGAGGTTACAAAAAGAAAAAGTTCTAAAGATACATGTAAGTATGAAGTTGAACTAGAACTTCCAATGGGGTGGGGGGTTTCAAAACAAAACACCTTCGCTATAGCAGTACATGTTGTATATTGATATATTTTCTGTATTCCATTTTTTTGACCCATAAAGATGCTGCCAGCAATAAGTGGGAAATAGACTTTCAAAACTATGCAGTATTTAAAAATATAAGCTTCACACAAAACCAAGGTCTCTCTCCAATCTTGCTGGTCCCTGGAAGGACACGTACAGTACTACAACTTGCCCAAGGCTAACAGTTACATGCACAACATGTGTATAACTACAAATGTAAGATGACAGTGTGCAGAGAAAGTCGGGTAGCCTGAGGCTTGTGGATTTTGCAGTTGAGCTGGTGGATTCTTTTACTTGATGAGCAAATGAAGTTTTTTTAGGAGTAAAATTCAAATTAAAAAAGTACTGTAAGAGAACAATTTAATTCATTGTTTTGATCTTAATTCTTAATTATTCACAATTAATTGTGCTAGTGTGAACATTTTTGGGGGGCTAGTGAAAATGGCTGCTGGGCTAGTATTCATGTACATGTTACCGCTTGCCCAAAGGGCAAGTTGGAAATCTGGATTGTTTACCATTTACACAGAGAAGCCGGTTTGGTGTGTGAAAATGGTAAGCAAAAATCCCTGATGGTATTGTAAGTTACATTCAGTTTGGCAACTTAACATTTACTCAGCAATCCCCAATTTACTGAAAGAGTCCAGGACAAGTTTGAACTACCTTTCAAGACATTCTGTTTAGTTCGAAAATTCCACGTCAGTCAAGCCAAATTTGTCTTTCCATTTACACTCTGACTGAATTGTCTGGAATTTTTGGGTAAATAGTACACAATATTGGTTTTTGTTGCACTCAGGGTAACTGTTTATAATTTGTAAAAGTTGTCTTTTAAAGTGAGTTGTCTGTAAGGGGGTTAGGAATAGGGAGTTACATGTAAGAGTAAAGGGATCAAAATAAAACAAAAAGTGATAATTATATAACAGTTAGTATTTTGCTTACCAGATCTCTTAAAGTAGTCATTGCCTTTGGCTTTATAATCTAGTGCCTGTGTCCTTCTTTCCTTTCATAAAAAAATAAAATGTCTGATCACAAAAGATTATTATTACTCTTCTAAATGCACTTCTTGAAAATAACACTAAAATGAGCTGTAAAAAAGGAAGGGAAGAGCTCAGAGGAGTTGCTGGCCAGTAAGAAAGTGAATTCCCCTAGTTTTAAGAAATAGCAGGATGCTGGAGCAGGATTAAGGTTGGTTTTCACTAGTCCACAAGCATAACCATAAGCATGATACTATGCTCAGATGCAGTAGGGAGCTGTTAAAGCAACATGTATCTACATGTAGAGTCTTTTTTGAAGAAATTGTCCTAACAAAGGCAGTAGTTATCAACATCTTAAGCTGCAAGCAGCCTCTCTTTTGCTTGAAAATCCAAGGGAAGAACGCAAAACAAGTGAGCGTGCAGGTGTGACATGCGAGTGGTGAAGCCACGAGCCGCAAGTAGCATAGGCATTGGAAGATGAGCGAAAAGAGAGACTGCAATAGTTTCATACAGCATTGACAGTTATAATCAAAATTACGATGAAAACGTTCGCTGGCTAAAAAATTTCAAAAAAGTAATTTTGATTATGTCTCATCCTGGCTGCGCATCAATCTTTAATTGACAGCTCTGCCCATTTTTTTCTCAATTTTTTGCGCAAATCACCCAAAGCTGTATCTGGTGAAATGTGATGAGTGGTTCAACAGCAAAGAAGCTTTTATTACTCAAGGAGAGCAGCCATCAGTATCTGAGGTTTGTTTCTGTGCAAGCGTTAAGGAACCTTGTGAAATCTTGAGCCAAGCAAGACAAAGATAAACATGGTATCCAAGATAAGGAGCAACATTACTTGCAACAGCATTAATCAGACCTAGCATCACCTGAATGCCAGTAACCAACTTGTACGGAATGGAGAGGGCAAATGGAGAGCTTAAGGTTACTCCAAACCTTTGCAGGTGTCCTCCAGAAAAAATCGCATATGAGGTTTTCAAGGAATCCCCCACAAATTACATATCAATAGAAGGGTTATGAAATGTAGAATTCAATAAAATTATCTTCTGTTTTGCAGATTGCTTTCCTAAGGTGACAGAAGCCATAAACGGCAAATTGACCGACTGAAATTCTGGCAAATTTAATGCAATCGTTCATGCAAAATAACTGAGCAGTGTTAATCACAAAGAATCAATCTCTCAAAGTGTGTCAGTATTTTCTTTTATTTCTTTTGGTTACCTTTTTATAGATCTGTCAAGTTCCACTATCGAAAAATTCGCATGACGTGTTGCATTAGAGTCCGCCATGAGAAAAGTATTTAAAATAAAAGAATTCGCCAACATGATTTTGTTCCTTATCTATCAGTAAAATAATGTTCTGGCCAAATTTCACGGAAAACCATCGATTCTACGTACCCTTTAATTCATATAAAGAGGAGGGATTAAAACTCTCAAAAAACAAGTGCAATTTTTTGCTTTCTAAAGATTTATAAATGTGTCACGTCTACTCGGAGGGAGATGTCAACCTTAAAAAGCCGCCAGCCGATGAAATAACAAAACCCCTAGCATTCACAGTATGCAAACTTGAGCTTTGTGGGAAAGCGATAGTGTTACAGTCACATCTTAGGCGCACATGTTTTAGGTCGGTAGTCAACGATAATGCGCAAAACAGAAAGAAAGTGATGTGCAACAAAACAAAAAGAAACTAAGGAGCAATTGCCAAAGCATGTTTACAAGGAGTCACTGTTGACGGACATGAAATCTAACATTGAAAGTATTTGATAAAGGATCTCCGGATTAAGCCGTTTACTACGAAAAGGACGCTGAGGAGTCCATGCCTTTCGGGCATTATGACACCTTGACGGTTAATTAACTTTTATTACAAAAGTCTCTTTTCTCCCAAACTCGCGTGCATTTAAATATTTTATTTTCATTTTTTTTTTTTGGAAAATGTTACCTTAAATAATGAACTACAATTTGCTTGAAAAAAAGAAAATTTGGCAAAAGTGGCCCCACAAAGGTTTGGAGTAACCTTAAATTGTATCTTGTAACAGAAATGAGCTAATTAAGCAAACTACACTAAAGCACATGGTAAATTACAGAAAAACAAGCATGAAGCACAAAACTAATAAAAAGGTCCAAAAATCTAAATTGAAAATAGTATGGCAAACGTACAAATGTCGCAAGCCACAGGAGTCAAACAGAAGGAGACAAACTTAACATGTTCTGAGTTTGGTGTGTGCTGCATGTCACTTAAACATGTAAAGGTTACTAACAGCAGAGATTGGGAAGGCCGTGCGCCATGTGCATATGGCACATAAAGCTACGAAATGATGCATTATGAAAGTACCTACCGGCCTACAACACGCCCTGGCCGCGAAACAGGAAGTAAAATATACACTATTTTGTGGAAAAGATTTTCATTTGTAAAATTTTCAGTGTAATGACAAATAAACACAGGAGAAATCCAGATGCCTTTGCTCTTTAATCGACATTATAAAAGCGTTTGTTTTGTTTCATCCCCAGACCTGTTACTTGGACTCTGCTCGCAAACGAGGTTCTTGCTCAATTCATGTGTTTTTTGTTTTCAAGGCGGATAGAATTGGCTGATTTGAATATGTTTTACATGCTACAATTAGCCAAATAATATGCCTCCGAAAGGGAAAGTTGCGAAATTGGAAAAGACTCAGAGATTGTTACCGTTTTGAACTACGAATGCCGAGTCCGCCACAACGAATTGTGATCCTGAAAGTAATGACCAAGGTGAAGTGTTTAAGCCTTCTAGTTCTGAGGAACGAAAAAAATTTTGGTTAACATTTCATTGACTATTAGAGAGCTACTGGTGTGTTATGTACTGTTCATTCATAGCTCAAGTTTTAGGTTATAAATGTAACATTACTTTTCACTCTAAATCTAAAACTGGGCATGTTTCAGCGATGTTGATGTCAGACTACTCGATGTGTTAAGTTTAATCAGTTCCAGTTCAGAATTTATAGTTTAACCTCAATGAAAGGTTAATATATAATTTGTGTTAGCTTTATTCTGTAACTGTACACTTAAACTGAGCTTGAAGTCCAGTAAAAAGTATAAAACTACAGAAATCAAGAATCACATATCATTTTATGGCCCATTTATTTACCTTATTAATGGCTCAAACTTTTTATAAATGGCCCATAACTTTCCAAAGCCATGGGCCATAGGCTCATTTGTCTGTTTTGCCTTCCCAATCCCTGTAACAGATGCGCATCATAACTTTATAGAACGGCCAATAGAATACTCCATCACCAGAGTGCCGGACTTCAGAAATGCTGTATGAAACTATTGCAGTCTCTCTTTTCACTCATCTAATCTACCGCCTGATTCATTTGCAGCTCAGGGCTTTGCATATCAAGCTCGTACACTCACAACCACTCACTTGTTCTGCATTCTTCTTTGGGTTCTTCCTCAGGGATTTTCAAGCAAAAGAGAGACTGCTCACAGTATATAAACATATGACTGTGTCAGGTTATCCTTACGTGCTAGTTAATAAAGGCACTTCATGAATGTCAAATTTTCACCCCTGAAAGGAAGTTGCATGTCTGCATGTCTGCATGCAGGCTAGAGAGTACTCTATAGCAAATATAGCACACTTTGTGGTAAATATGATTACAAAAGTACTGCATAACTTGTGATTGACTGCTGAGAGCAGGGAATTTATGTCTTTAATTTTTAATTTGCAATGCAGTCCAAATTTAGACGGATTTACACTGCCATGCTATTTGAAATTTTCTTTCTCATTGCACTTGTCGAAATGCTGATGCAATTTTCAGATAATTTCTAACATCACCAGTAGTCTAAATCCTTCTTAATATAGCTGTACTCTGCTCAGATTCGCACGATTATCTACAGTGTCTAACTACAGTGTCTAACTAAGCTCAATAACACTAATCAAACCTCTTTTTCTTCAGGAGACAGTCTTTCTTGCTCTTCAGCCACCTCCTCTTCTGGTTTTAGCTCATCATCATTTTCATTTCCACCCGGTGATGTCTCACAAGAGTCCATTTTCTCGTTCAATTCTTCGACAGCATCCTGAAATGTTTGACTTTCGGAATCCTCCCCGGAAAAATTAGCAATCACTTCTTCGACTATGTTAGCGTTTTCGAGTAATTTATACTTTTGCTCTCTAGTTTTGTCCGTTTTTGATTCTTCCCCAACATCTCCTTCGTTTTTTCTCTCTTTCCTCCGCAAAAGTTCGCTAACAGAATTCTTTCGTTCTTCAGAATCCTCGTCCATGTTGGACGCCATATTGAAAATGAGATAGTACGTCATATATTCGTCATGGAGTCGATGTCTATCCTGTGAATACCACGGGCATCTCGTGGGATCCCCGAGTGTTCACGTGCGAATGTGAAGTTACCCCTACGGCACCCCACGGTTTGCACGAGAGAAATTTTGTTGAAGAAACAGATGTTACCCAAGTTTAGTATAAACTATTGATACGAAACAATGATACGTAGCCAGTGTGTTGTACTTATTTATTTTATTTATTACTTATTTGTACTAACAATCAGTAATGGCAAAAAAAGAAATAAAAATATTAATTATAAACCATACGGTGAATCCGTACAGGAGACTATAACGCCATATGAAAACACCGTGCTATATAAATGTATCTAAAAAAGAAGAATAAAAATAAAGCACTCAGAAATTTGAAAATATAAAATATATAGGCTTATCGTGGTTAGATATGTGAAATTTTAAAAAAACTAACTGCTAATTCGTCCGTTCTATGGTCTAGTGGAAGGAATTTTTCTAGGACAGATTCATACTAACTCATAAACTGTAAGTATTATATTAAAGCTGGGTGTGAAAGAAAGCAAAAGACATGTGATCGGAGTGGAAATGTTGGGAAGAACACAGCAGTTGACTCCGAATGCAAATGTGATGGACAAGGAACATTACAGCCATTCGAGGTGCGTGACTTGTAGATAAGGACACAGCAGTATTGAAGCATGTCGAGCACGTTTTACCACTGCATTCAGTTCATGACGTGATGAGAATTCAGAACATGCAGCTTGGTAAACATACATCTACTCGGCTTTGTAAAGCGTTGCTGACGTCACAAATGATGAAGTTAACGTGAGCAATGGGTTAATGGGCACATCACGAACAATACGTTAATAAAGTTTTTTCTCCATATTTCTGTAATGTAACCTTTTTAATCCCCCTTACAAGGACTTCCAGTGCAAAGAAAATGCTGAAAAATCAATATCGCTTGACTCAAATGACTAAAAGAACTTTGATGAAAAATGTAGAGTCTGAAAAATAGAAAAAAGGAAGAGAAGAAGAGATCGTGTGGCATTCTTCAGCTACCGACAAGAATTTAAAAAAAAAAATACTATGAAGTGTCTTTAAATTGTTGTATGCAAATTTGAAGCCAAACACAGGACAGATAAAATCTTTGGCAGATGGTATACATACTGAAGTTCACAAACCATAGCTCTCTTATAAACTTGGTATCATGTTGCATTATATCAATCATTAAGTCATTTTTTTCAGGATGAAAAAAATTGGCTTCAATTCAAGAAAACCACAAAATAATCACAGTTTTCTGAGATAGAAACTCTGTGGACACCAAAAAGGTAAATAAATATTAATTAAGCAAACAGGAACACTGCGATATAAAGACGTGGGGGAGATTGAGAGTAAGATTACTTCAGATTACGAACAGCTAATTTGGATATTATTTTAGATTACTGAACTGTTTCGATATACAGATCTGTGACGTCTAGATGATGTCTTCTGAACGTTAAAACTACTGATAATAAGCTTTGCTCCTAATCTAAACCTACGTACTGAAAGTCAATTTCTTCACTGACGTATATATGCCTCTTTAAGAGATTCGCGTACTGACGTAGCATATATCACATTAATTCATGGAGCGAAATCCTAATTAATACTGATTGTAATGCATATATTTTCCCAACGCGAATATTGAGCCTCAGACACAACTCACCGACTTCACAAGAAAGAAGCCTTTTACAAGCTGTATGTAGACTTACAGATGGGGTATAAACTGGAATTAAACTATTCCAGGGAGTTTTGAATTGCAACACCTTCGATTTCTTCATAAAGATATTTTACCCAGAAGGCATTGCTTTGAAGCTTTCGTTTTCTGTTGTTGAACCTCGCAATTTGATTGGTCTCAGTATTTTTAATATATTTTTGCTACTGATTTGAATATAAGTGCCTTGGTGTCGTGTACGAGTAGCACAAAAGAGACATCTTCAGTTTGCCTTGGACTTAGCTTGTGATCTGGTAAGTACAAGTTTAGCTCATTTTCCCGAAAAACTTGCGTTTCCAGCATCCACACTCTCTCATAAAGAGCCTGGCAAAATGATAGAGGGATTTTGCGTACATTCGCGTGATTTATATTATTTGTGAACCAAAAATAAATGGACTTCAAAAGCACTATAAATGGTTCTTAAAATCCTTGCGTGTTTGAAAACTGAATTAAAGTAAACGTGTCGACATTCGATCAATCGTGAGTGAGTCCATCAAAGCATTTCAAAAGGTCTTTATCTCGTGTGTCAGTTCAGTTAGTGTCATTGAACAAAGAGTCATATTCGCTAAAGTAGCACCATTCTTCCTCAAGCATTGTCAGGTGATTTATGCTCAGTCAACTTAAAATACATACCAGTTGACAAGTGGTTTCAGACACGAAGCAGATCTAGACATCCGCGTGAAGATCATGCTGAGTTTACGAGGATAAAAGTTCTTAGCCAGAAGGAGCCTGGAGATGTCGATGTAGGATATGACAGCTGAGAAGCCGGGCTTGTTAGGTATGATTTCAGAGTTTTATAATGCGCGCTCCTTTGGGTGATAGATATACTTGGGTGCTGGTCCTCCCTTCAGAATTGCCTAGCATTGAACTCATTCCGCTTGAGCATTTTTTTGATGCGAGGCTGTATTTTGTTAGTCACTGTGGTTGCAGGTTTTATTGTCTTCAGTTGAACATTCTCGCGACCTCTTCCCACCTCGATCATGATATTCTGTTAGAATTTAAACTAGATATGCTATCCTTGAAGCCTGAAAGGCTTCACATTTAGCCTAAACTGAACATGCCGCTCAAGGTGGTCGGTTGAGCCTATCATCATATATAAGCTGATACAACAGGTATTCATATTGACATCAAATTAATGTACTCAGTGGAGACGGCCAATTTATGTATCGGTACATGTATGGTTGAAATGCCGGTTCACATGTACAAGAAAAGATAGATATATCTATTCGTTCGTCTTCAATGTTATGAACCCTAAATTGCTTTAATCTAGATGGCTTTTGCAATGATGTGCCGTTTCGGGAAATCTCTTAATTTACTCGTGAAATATATCCAGATCATTTAAACATAATTTAAGAAAACGAATACAAGCTGGGATAATTTTAATTTAATACAGTCGACAAACAGCTCGGAGGAAATATACTCACAGAAAACAAAGCGAGGTTTTTTACTCGTTATTTGCGAGCAAAAAGACTCGTTTATTTTTTGAGCGGCAAGTTTCAAAAGAGCTGTTACTTTGTGCTAACAACTTGCTTAAGGCTACACATCGCTTGATATCAGCTAACAGCCGGTAATAGAAAGGTCCGCTGATCCAAGTCATGCCATGACGGATCGATGGAGAACATTTGCGGTTAACTTTACTTCACGGAACAAGGCATGGCCCGTTTTAAGCCTTAGAATACGTGAAGCTAATCCCAAATAATCTCTGGATGTAATTATTTTGACCACAGAACATGCAATCCAGCAAAAGGAATATAACGATTTTTGTTCTTGCAATAAAGGAGGACAGATGCAGTTCAAAAAGAACTGATCGAACTGATTACTTTTAGCACTGAGGTTCTTTCTGTATTGCGTTGTTCAGTACACCATAGTGACATTCTCAATTTTAACCGAAATTTAGCCTGATTAGTTATTCATGATTTGGTTAGCAATCTGCATTCTATAAAACTATACTTTGTACTGAATTAATTCTACATCAATGAGTCGAGTTTAATTTGTCGTGAAGATTCGGTTATGGTCTAAGGGGGATCTAAAGCGAATTTGGTCTTGTAACGTATCAACAGACGATGCTGAATGTATAAATTTTGTTTACATCTATTTCAGTGTCTATTTCTTTGCGTGGAGACGTTCTAAAATAAGGCCAGCAAATCCCTCCGTAAGCGCGTGATAGCTAGGCACCTGGAGAGGTTTATCACGGCCCCAATGGCCATATTTTTGTGGTGGTGAGCTTGCCCATAATTTATGATTTCAAAATGGTATGACAATCGACAAAAACTTGCTAGCCTGTAGCTATATTGATTCATTTGTTTTAAGTTTTCTTTTCTTCCGATTTTTCCACCTGCGCTTCGTCAGTTGCACTTCCGCTCTCCATCGTAAAATGTGCTATTGATCATTTTGGAGCCAGTTGCCATCAAACACCATTAAAGTAGTAGCGGAGTTTTCAACGAATTTATTTTTAATCACAGCATTTCTAACTGCCAAAGGCTAGCAGCTTAGAGCTATGGGTGGTAATCCGTTGAGCTAAAGCGCAGGTAATGGTTAAATAGTATAGAAAACAACAAGCTACCATGAAAAGCCTTTTAACTGGACATAGGCCCCACAAATTTTAAGATAATAACAAGTCTCACCACAAAAATGACGGAAATAACCAGCTTGGGCGAAAACAACTACCAGTGCAAATGATATGTAAGAAAAAAAAGGACCTCACAACTGTAATAATTAAAAATGACGAAATTAACCTTAACTGAAATAACGTAGGAATAGTTAAAAATAACTGCAAATGATGAAGTGTAAGCAACCTAACAAATGAAATGAAAAACAAACCAAGTAATGTTGTTTATATTCGTTACATCTGCGTCGCGTTCAACTTGCCCTGTTCACGGTAAAAAATTTCTCGTTTCCATTAAAATATAATCCAACATGCATGTGAGCTATTTTCGGGTAATTTTGTAGTTTTTGCAATTGTTTCAAGTCCATGTTTACATTGAAATGCAAACGAGAAAAGTTTATCTTGAAAAGGGCTTTTGGCTATATGTGCATGACACCCTGTTTTAAGTAGGTCGGTTGTATCTTACTGTTGAGTGATTGAGATAATGTTTTCTTGTGAATACACTATAAATAAATCATATGTGAAAAATGCAAATCGCACGATATAGAGCTGTTTTGAAAATGTTTTTCCCACAAAAGTGTAAAAGCTTACGCGACAATGCCGCTTGGTATTATGGGTAGTTATAGCTTGTCGTTGCAGGTTGAGGTTCACAGTGGAAAGGTGAAGCATGAATACACGTGATTGTGTTGTTTCCCTCTATCACACTGGAAAACCTTTGGCTTACATTCGATCAGGGCGACA